CTAATATAATAGGCATGATAAAAAATAATACTTATTTGTTCTTTAATTGTAGAGCACTTTGGTTATGGTAACCATGGATAACCAATTATTTTTATGGTTTGGTAAATAACCAGTTTATAAAATAAAATGCAGTTTCATATGAAATCGGTTTTTAAAAAAATAACCGGTTTTTGAAATGTGGAGCAGTTTGGTTATGGATCGGTTTGGTTCTTTTGGACATTTTGAACACCCCTAGCCCTGATAAATGTGTGTACTACTAATTACTCCTTGTTTAAAAATTTATTTGCGAGAAGCACAACTCAATATTGTTAGACTCAAAAGTATGTGATTCAGCCTAATAATTATTGGACTGATTAATTATTTAAATATTTTTTTAGCTAAAGAGGTAATCCAACTCAAAGGAGGGTTTTGGGAAAACCTACATAGATAGCAGGAAAATGATGAGAAAAAGGCAAAATACGTTGTAGGGTTGAGATTGTCTACTCTTAAGATCTGTTTGGTATGATGTATAAGGGATGATAATATAAGCATATACTATACATTATGACATTTTTAGTTGTTTGGTGTGGTCATCGTATAAACATATACATCATAATTCCTTAACACATCAAAATGATGTATAACTTAATCAGGCCTAAGGGGTGAGATAATAGGTCTGATAAGGTGTTGATGTATTAACATCGCTGACTAGTGCAATTCTCAATAATTAATATATTAATATTAAAATCAAAAATAATTTTTCAATATATTAATTTTTAAAATATTGGAGATTTTTTATTTTTATAAAAATTATTTTTTTTGGACACACTAATCAATAGATGTTTATAAAAATTAATATCATATGACATATTTGGAAGAATTATATAAATTCTCTATTAAAGTGTATTTTCATCAAAATTAATTTTTATCCTATCTAATATTATACAGTGCATTACCAAATACTGGATAATATTATCTTATACAATACATTATCTTACAAAATTTCATGTTAAACGCTGAATAATATTAAAATTTTATCAGGTCTTATATAATATCAAGTCTTATATTATCAGGCCTTATTTCATATTGTGCACCAAACATGCCTTTATTACATATATCTTACAACTTAACTAATGAAGTTGTCTCTTGGATATTAACTCAAATGTTATTAATATTAAACTTGTATGATTAGTATTAGAATTATATATATATATATATATATATATATATATATATATATATATATGATCAACTTACACCGATATAAAAATAACCAGTCTTACATCAAATAAATCTTAATTAATTAATTAATATAACCCAATAAATAGATGGAAATCAACGGTTAAGATTTAGTGTAAGAATAATTTTCCCAATATACATATAAAAGAATAACCGTGTAAATATTAAAGTATGGAAAAACAAAAAATGATATTATTTAAAACATATTCAATAATGAATGAAAATTTCAAAGATATGGAATTGCACGTAGGTTAGTGTGTAATCACTACTGATTGTATTTAATGTAATTTATTTTTTTAATATAGTGATCATTACTAATTACATTTAATTTATTTTTTCAAATTTTAATTGAAGAATGAAAATTAAATTTAAAATATTTTTACCATAATTATTATTTATGATGTAAATATAACACAATAAAATGATGACACAATTTAATTTTTTGTAAGCAAAGGTCTCATTTTATATATTTCATGATGTATGATTGCATATAACAATATGGTTAAGTTTGGCTTGACTTTTTTACTTAAAAAAAAAAGTTTGGCTTGGCTACACCACCTCTCTCCGCAAGGAGATTATTTTTTGTGAACCGGGATCACCATTCTTTAGGTGGTTTTTTAGTGTAAATAGGAGGATAAAATTGAAAAAGAAGAAAATAACATGGATAAAAAGAGAAAGAAAAATTAATGATGTGAGAAGGATTATAAAAAAATTCAGTAGTCCTGAATCATATTTAATATTTCCCTCTCTGTAAGAAAGTTTGACACTTTGACCCACCGGAGAACTCTGTCATTGGTGATTCACATCCGGTTGACCCATGCCATGAGAGATTTTCCCCTTTCTCCTTTTTCCTTTTCATCATTCGTGGTAGACGAGGGAAGATTAATCATGCACTAGAAGGGAATGCCATAGAAAATAAATTTACAAATGGCATTGAAATTCTCCAAAGATGGTATTCAATAAGTATCATTCTAATTTTTTTTTATATTTTTTTTTAATAAACCATTCAGTATTCAATGACTAATTTGGATTCAAGTTGGTAGGATTATAAGGGCCGCAAAACTCTTCATATCAAATTTTACCATAATTATATATCTAATACTCGAATTCAAGATCACTGATTAAATTATGATGATGAAAATAATCAAGTGTAAGTTGTAAAGAAGTCTCACACCAGTTAGATTTGAACCAAGTCAAAACTATATAAATGCAAAAAAAAGACTCATATAACTTGAGCATCTAGATTTTGAATTGAAATATAGAGTTAATTCACTTGTCGTTGGTTCACCCATACGATTCTCAACAATAACAACTCACGCAAATTGATCAACGTGCTTAGTGGTCACCACTCACCATTCTATTCTTCTCGTATACATATTGTGACAAATTGAAGCACTAGTCACGCTTGCCATGGTGAATTCCTGTAATTCACGGCAGGATGGACGCATGTCCAGCCTATAATCAAGGACTCTTTTATGGAAAATGTAAATAATTGCATTGACGTTTCAAATGCCAAAAATAACTTAAATCAGTTAAGGAGGCAGGGGACCTCTTTTATTAATCTAATTAAGTTAGACAATAAATTATATTTATTATAATGTAAATAATAATAAAAACTTATAATAAATATAATAAATCATATTTATTATAATTCAAGACACAAAAGAACCTTACCCTGGTGTAAAATTATAATAAAAATAAAATCAATCAATTAATTAATTAATTGATTTATCAGTTAACTATTGTAATTTAACAAAGTAAAAACTGACTTCCCCTTTTTAGTTATCAAATAACATGAGAGAATCTAATCCAACATTAAAAAATTGATAATATAGGAATATGATTGACTTTGACTTATCTAATTTTACTTTCACAATGCTCCTTCCAGATAGAGGTAAGTGAATTCATTATTTTGTGATCCGTAAAGAGCCCGTCCTATCATTTCTCATATAATCCGTAGCATCTTTAGTATTATATAAGAACGTAAAACTTTGTAAAAATTTTATGAAAAGGGTCAATTAAACAATTTTCTACTACAAATATATATCCCGCAAAATTTTCTGCTCCAAATGCATATAAAAAAATGTTTCCTGCTGCAAATAAAGAAATCTTACTGAAGAATATTTTAAAAATAAAAAATGAAAACAAAAGTACTAAGGTGGTGTTTGGCTAGTGTCTTTATCCAATTTTCCTAGGCAAGTGACACAAGGAATCCAGTTTTGACCTGTTTGGTTGGATGAGATTCAGACAAAAAGTCAGTCATCCAAAATGCATAGGTTTTTCAATTGGATAGAAAAAAGATAGATTTCGGCACTGTTAGAAAAGCTTTTTGTTATGTGGTTTTTTGTAAAACACATAGCTAAACCACTGTTTGCAAATTTTTGTGAAGTAATTTTGTCTCACTTTTGTGAATTTCCCCAGTCAAGTTTTTCTCTACCAAACAACTTTGTTTTTACATTTTTCACTTTATCTCACTTTCTTACCATTTCCCTATCAATTCTATTTCCCTAGATTTCAAAAAATTTCTCCTCAACCAAACGCCACCTAAATGTAATCGTATAGAGTTGTCTAGCTTTCCTAATGCCCCAAAATAATAAATACCATGTGCCTGTTTGGATCCTCTCTTTTTTAAACTATAAGCTACTTATAAGTATAAGCTAGGCCAAACAGGTTTTGGGAGAAACTCTTTTTTTTAAATGAAGAAAAAAGCTGAAAACTAAAAGCTCCTAGAAAAAGTTTTTTTTTAAGCTCTTATCTGTTTTTTTTGAATTGTATGTTTTTTTAAAAATGAAGAATGATAAAGATAGAGAGAGATAATTTTCTTGAAATATGTGTTTTTAAGTAATTTTTAAGCTAAAATTTTTATATAATTTCCAAACAGCTTTTAGTTTCTTTTTTTAAGTTCTTTTTTTAGCTTTAGCTTATAAGTAACTTCTAACTTAAAAATAAGATAATCCAAACAGGCTCTATATCTAGATGATGATAAGGTTCTTCTAATTTGTCTTCCTTTTATTTTTTTTCGTATAGTTACACTACAACTTAATTTTTTTTCGTATTCGATCAAAAACTACATTACATCTTATATTATGACTTCTACAGTTCCATCTGAGTTAAGCCTTGGTAGCAACTAGGAATTTCTCGTTACAATATATAATCAATCTTGGTAAACAAGTATTACAAAACTTGAGCATGGGCCATTAAACTTTACGTAACACAATCAAGTAAAGCAACAAATATACTAATTGATGAGTCTTGTGGACCATACGATTATAACCATTAGAACGCCACGGAAGGGTTTAATTTTAATTTTTTTTTTTCCGGAGATTTGGTTTAATTTAAATTTACAGATAAGATAGAGAATATTTAATTATATGGAATTTGCTTTATTTGTTGCATGATCACATAGTGCTACAAGAATACAGACATGTTTCATCTCTTATTCTTCACAAAAATCATATAGAAATAAACCCGTGGGGCCATTCAAGACTAATGCTTTGCATTATTTCATGGGGATGAAGCAGAGGAGTCTTGTCAGTTTATTTTGAATGTGAAAGTGGTCGATGTTCTATGGAATCAAGTTAAAATGAAAAAGTTTATTTTCCACACTTTCATTATTAAAATTTGAAAATTGACCCAAGAACAATCCCAATACTCTTCATCTGTATGACGTTTGTCTTAGCTCAAGTACCCTATACTGTCACAGCATATTGGCACAATAGCTCAACTCAACTATATATAGAACATAGGTGACACCCTCCTTAGGCACAAAACTGAGAAGCCTAGACCTCAGAACACAAAAATCATGGTGTCAAAAATCTCACACTTGCCAATTTTAATCCTTCTATTATCAGTTTCATTGACAGCTTCAGCTTCAATTCAAGAAAGTTTTGTCCAGTGTCTCCATTTGAACTCGGACAAAACATATCCATTTTATGCATCAATTTACAGTCCAAACAATGCTTCATTCACCACCATCCTTGATTCCTCTGCTAATAACCTAAGGTGTTTGTTGCCTTCAGCTCCAAAACCTGAGTTTATATTCACACCCTTTGCTGATTCCCATGTCCAAGCAGCTGTAATTTGCTCAAAGAATCTTGGTATTCATCTTAGAGTACGAAGTGGTGGTCATGACTATGAAGGAATCTCATATGTTTCTGAAATTGAAACCCCTTTCATGGTTGTTGATTTGGTCAAGCTTCGTGGTATCAATGTTGATATCAAAACTAACACTGCTTGGATTCAAGCTGGTGCCACCACTGGTGAAGTCTATTACAGAATATATGAGAAAAGTTCAGTTCATGGTTTCCCTGCAGGCCTTTGCCCAAGCATAGGTATTGGTGGGCACATTACAGGAGGTGCATATGGAACCATGATGAGAAAGTATGGCCTTGGTGTTGATAATGTCCTAGATGCTATAATTGTTGATGCTAATGGAAGGATTCTTGACAGGAAAGCCATGGGGGAAGACCTATTTTGGGCAATTAGAGGAGGTGGAGGTGGAAGCTTTGGTATCCTTCTTTGGTGGAAGATAAAGCTGGTTCCTGTGCCACCAACTGTGACAGTTTTTACAGTTACTAAGACCCTAGAGCAAGGTGCAACCAAGCTTCTACATAGATGGCAGGAAGTGGCACCTTATATTGATGAGAATCTCTTTATTAGAGTCATCATTCAACCAGCTAGTTCTGGTAACAAAACTCAGAGAACTATCACAACTTCTTACAATGCTGTCTTTCTTGGTGAGGCCAGAGAACTACTCCAAGTTGTGAAGACAAGTTTTCCTGAATTGGGTTTGACAAGAAAGGATTGCTTGGAAACAAGCTGGATCAAATCTGTGCTCTATGTTGGAGGCTTTCCAAGTGATACACCTCCTGAAGTTCTTCTCAAAGGAAAACCAACATTCAAGAACTACTTCAAAGCCAAATCAGATTTTGTAAGAGAACCTATACCAGAAATGGGGCTTGAGGGATTGTGGCAAAGGTTGCTGATTGAAGACAGCCCCTTGATGATTTGGAACCCATATGGTGGAAGGATGAGTGAATTTTCAGAATCTGATACCCCATTTCCTCACAGAAATGGAACACTATACAAAATCCAGTACTTATCTTTATGGCAAGATGGAGACAAGAATGCTGCAAAGCATATAGATTGGATTAGGAAGCTTTACAACTACATGACTCCTTATGTGTCTAGCTTCCCCAGGGAAGCATATGTGAATTACAGGGATCTTGATTTGGGAATCAACACCAAGAACAGCACAAGCTACATACAGGCAAGTTCTTGGGGTAATAGGTATTTCAAGAATAACTTCAACAGGTTGGTAAAGATAAAGACCAAAGTGGATCCTGAAAATGTCTTCAGGCATGAGCAGAGCATCCCACCTCTTCCAGTTTGAATGTAAGAGGCAAGAAATGCAAGAAATGGGAAATAAGGCACTGTGCTGCTAGAATCATTAGACTAGTATATATAAATTGTGAAAGGGTTTATTAGCTAGTTTAGAGGAATAAGGATATACATATAGATTTGTTACTTTGTTTTTGGTTATTTTAATGTTGTAAGATAAAGATGAAGTGCCTAATTGTTTGCTGTCTTTGTGACTGTATCTGTGATAAGATTATATATGGGTAACTGAAGTGTTTATTGTTTCTCAAACAAAAACTGTGGTACCAGTAATGATCTTTTTCATAGGATCTGAATGCCTTATATGATTCCCAAGTGTGTCAGCCTATTTTTCTCCACATTATCATCGATTATCTATCTAATCCGATCGATCACCAATGCGACAAAATTCTCCCTACCAAATTTTTATACATAACATATTTGGGATTTAAACTTAAAACTATTAATTAAGTTAGAACAAATTCTTAGCACGTGATTCTAAGGCTCGATGACTTTCAGAATCAATGACTGTCCCCACAAACCAACGCGAAACTCCCCACACTCTTCTTGGAAAAACTTCCCAGGAGGTCACTCATCCCATAATTGCTTCAAGTTAAGCATACTTAACTATGAAGATCTTAAGTTAAGAGCTACCGAAAAATAGATACATTTTGTTAGTATGTTAGTATAGGTATTACCAATTAATTCTTGTAAGTTATCCCCAACTGTACAGTCTCATACCTGTTCACAATCACTGAAATCCTTTTTTTTTCGGGTATTGATTTGATTCATTCATGTACCCCCAGCCGTAAGATTTGGCATGAGTCGCTTATTGTCTGTGCCTTTTTTTCACCGGCAATCACTCTATGCCCGTGCTAGCCCTTGGGATGTTACATCCCCACCACCTTCAGCTTGGTTCGTCCTCGAACTACATTGTACTGGAGAGAAAGGCCCTGCTCTGATACCACTTGTAAAGCTTGGCCTCTGACGATGCATAATTACTTTATGGGCACTGATGAACATTTGTTTTTTCTTTAGACTTACAAAGAGATGGAGGGAGAGAGAAAACATGAAAGGGAAAGAAATTGTGGGCTTTCGTTAGAGGAGAAATTTTTTTTACTTGGGAATCACAATTCTTGGAAATATGGTAGAAAAGTTGTTTGATGGGCCAAAATATCCATGAGAATGTTAGGTTAATTTTCTTATACTATGTTTGGTTAATTGTAAAATGTTGCTCTGAATATGGATTGAGGTTAATTATGTTCCAAAAAAATTATCAAATATTCTCACTACATGGGATTTTCAAAATACCACCTATTTGGTGGTTGTATTTTAAGATAAAAATTTTCTTCATAAACATGAATTTTGTGACTCCGACTTCACCGGGAAAATTTTTACAATCCTCGTCATTGTTGTCAAAAACTAGTGTAAAAACATAAAACTTACATTTTTACGTTTTTACTAGAGTGGTGCGTGTTAAAACGCAAGTAAAAATGGTCTTTGGTAAAGACTTACATTTTTACCGATTTGACCGTTTTTACTTAAAATTAAAAAATTAAAAAAAAAGATTTACAAAAAAATAAAAAAAAAAACTAATTTTCATTTTCTCCAAATTAGATTCACAGTGTCTTAATATCTTTTTGTTTGGATATATGTTTTTTTAAAATTATATCTTATAAAGCTGTAATTCTATTATAAGTTATGCTATGAGAATCATTTTGTGTTTTTGGATCATTGTGTGCATTGAAAGAAGTGGAATTATATCCTGATGAGCGATGATCCAAAATCTGCAGAGCGTATGAAGCAGTTAGAGCAAATTGGTTATCCATTACTTGCTAATTATCATTATTTATAATTTTGATACTTGATTATAAAAAATTATTGGGTTTAACGTTTCTCAAGTTGTTTGAAATAATTTTATCTCTAGCTACTAATCATAACCGTACAAAGATGGATCAATGGTAATAAAGGAAGAGAAAAAAAAAAGAAAATCATAACTATTCAAAGGTGAATCAATTAATATAAGGAAATAAATAAACAAAACGACGTAGTTTTGGGATGGTAGGAGATAAACTTATCTCAAGTTGTCAGAGAAATGTTTTTCCCAAAATATTTTTCTTTTTTAGATATATAAGTGGCTCAACACACATGTTCAATATGTGATATTTTCTTTACATGCATATATATAATTTTGTATCTTGACCTTAAGTAGTAGAAAGTAGAAATTTTACTTTTCGTGTCGTTGATACGTTTTACGTTTCTGCCACCTATTTTCGTTTTTACGTAGAAACTCAAATTTGACAACATTGATCCTCCTATAAAATGTGGATTTTAAAATTTCTAAACTTATTTTTCCAGGATTTTAAAATATTTCTTTCTACCAAACACTCCCTTGTTAATTTTATGATGACATTTCCTTCTCATTATTCTCCTAAATACCAAGTCTCGTAACAGAATTGCAAAATAAAACTAACACAATATGTCGGAATATTAAGAAAATTAAAATATGTCTCATATTGTAAGAGATAATTTTATTATATATATATATATATATATATATATATATATATATATATATATATATATAAAATATGTGAGATCTATATATATATATTTTTTCATATGGATTCATACGAGCCTTATAAAATTTAAAATTATTTTTTAGAAAAACATTAATCTTATTAAAGTAAGATAAATACTAAAGCACTATTAAGAACTACTGATGTGAGAGTAGATCACTCGGCTATAGCAGTTGCTACAGTAATCCATCTAAGTGAGTTCAACTCGTGACTGAAATTGCAACGCGTCGGCAGCCAAAATAAAAATTTAAGGAGTTGTCGTTAATTTTAAGTAGAGCTAGCAAAATGGACTCGGCTCGGTCAGTTAACTCGTCTCATGCGCTAAACGGGACGGGACAGGCTGAGTTTTTTAACCCATCTTAAAAGTTGGGCTGGGTGGGGCAAGCTCGTTTTTTGACATGTTGATGGTAGGTCGAAGCGCACCAGTGTAAAACAGGCTCAGGCTATTGGGTCAACCCGTCAAACGAGGTGAGACAGACTAAGTGTTTCAGCCCACTTTTAAAAGCAAGGTGAGGCGGGTTAGCTCATTTTTTAGTGGGTTGATAACAGGATATGATGGAGCACGACGGACCACCCACTTTGCCACCTTTAATTTTAGGGGATTAGCTAAAAATTTGAAGAGTTTTTATATAATCCTAAAACAATGTGATTTTGAGTTTAAAAAAAATGCTGGTATAACATGAATTTTATTAAAATATCCTTTATTTTGAAATTTTAAGAGATAAAGTTATCTCAAAAGTGAATCTACCAATACCAGAGGAGATTTGAAGTCGATCATGTACAAAGAATGATTTATTTGATATACTTATTTTAAAGAAATTTATCTTAAATTAATTTTGAAAATTAAGAAATCATGAAAGGAAATTACCTTTAATCATATTAACGTTGAATGGGTTGATTTTTAATTAATTAAAAACGTAAATGATAGAAATACTTAAGGGGGAACTAATTAAAACTAAGCAACATGTTAAGACGCCTAAAAAAACTCTATTCACGCTAATCCAAAAAAAAGTTTTTTGTTTATGTTTCTTAAAGATTTTTTATTTTGTATTTGTAATTTTTGTTTTCTAACTTTTTTTTTTCTTTTGTATACTTTTCCTATCCCTGCGATGTCCAACTAAAGAAACTAACTAACCCCCCCCCCCCCCCCCCCCCCCCCCAAAAAAAAAATAAATAAATAAATAAAACTATAGTTTTTTTTTGTATTTTTATCTCAGATTTTAAAAATTTTGGGTTTTTTATTTTAGGTTTTTAGTTTTTGTGTTTTGAATTTGTTTACTTGTCAGACTTTTCTTCTTCTGTCTATATTTTCCTTTTAAAAAAAAAAAAACTAAATGGCCTAACTATAAAAGGAAAAAAATATAGGTAAGAGAAAAAGAAAAAGAGATGAGAAAAAAATATTATAATGAGATCCATTAAAAATTATGTCTTAATAACTATTCATTTGTCGTATAACATTGCAATTGACAAGGATTTTCCAAAAAATAATTATTTTTAAAAAAAATGATTTGCTTTTTCTGCAGTTAGTGCAGATAAGTTATCTGCAATAAGTCCAATACGACGTCGTTTTGGAGCGGAAATCATGGTGTTTTTGTAATTTTAATTTATTTCAAGGTTATAATAGTCTTTATATTTATAATTTTTTGAGATTTCAATACCAAAACGACATCGTTTTGGACATAATTATAGATAACTTATCAGCATTAACTGCAGAAACATTTTTCCCTAAAAAAAATCAATTAACCCAACCGAGACAAACACTTAACCAAAAAACCAACAATGACACAAAACGACTGAAAAAGAGAACGTGCCCCAACATATGGGCTCGACCCACATGCTTGAGTTAGAGATTTAAAGACACCGTAAAATGCAGCACTGATTCAGAGATGGTGTACTGGATAGAATTGCAGTGGGTTGTTGTGGAGTGTTGCCAGAGAATGAAATGGACAATGGAATCCTCAAACAACAATTCATGATCAAAATGTAAATTTAAATATAGCATAATTAATCAAGTAAAGAGCAAAACTTCAATGTAATCACCAACTTAAAGGCTCAAATTAACAAAGATAAATGGAAACCCCCGATTTGGTGGGGACTTCAAAAGAAAATAGATGAAAATTCTCCCTACTTTCTTTTAAATAACTTTATTTTTCCCTCATGTATATATAAAAAAAATCTCCTTACGTACCAAAAAAAAAATTTCTCCTCCTTTTTTTGTGGGTTCAATTTTTCTGCATTTATTTTAGATTAGTTATCTATATTGAGGCCAAAATGACGTAGTTTTGGGACGGAAATTAAGGTATTTTTGTAATTATAATTTATTTCAGGGTTATAATAGTCTTTCTCATTATAATTTTTTAATTTTTCAACCTAAAACGATATCATTTTGAGAATAAATATAAATAACTTATCTACATTTAATGTAAAAATATTAAAAAAAAATTATAGTCTTAACTATTTTAATAGCCTCCAAATATTATCACATTCCGTCTCAATCTTATCCTTTTTCTTTCAAATTTTGGTAGATACTTAATTTAAATCAATTTAAATCTAACTTCGGAATCCCCCATTCTAAAATATTTTAATAAAGTTGGTAGCTTTTTTGTTTTTATATTGTACTAGTGTATTACCACTTTATTTTTAAATTTTACCTAACATGCTCCCTGGCACATTTTTTTTTGGTGGGTGCTCCCTGTCACATTAATAACTTATAAGGGTGACATGTCAATCATACACATTATTAGTGTCACATCATTATATGTTTAAATATGAATTAATTATAAGAAAAAATAATTTAAACTGAGTGGCGATTCACGCGTGAGCTTGCTTGGTTGGCGTCTTCTTTCAGAGCTTGCTGGGCAAATACTAATGTACGAATTGGTTGTTAGAGACATCTTTTATTCAATTTATATTAAGGGTGTCACATAAAATTAAGTGGTTTTATTAACTTTTTCTCTCTTTTCTTTTCATAATAAACGTGGGTGTGATAGAAAAACAAAGCATGATAAAAATAAAAATTATTTTTGCTTTAAATAAATCCATTCAATTATTTTTTATGAGTTACATGATCAGAAAGTAGGAATTTGAAAAAAATAAATAAAAAATCTCTTTCATGCCAAACTATTCCATTAAAAGATATTGGCATCATACCCAATTGGGTAGTACACGTGGTAGGGGGAGAAAAAAATTATATTCCACATAATAATCTCGAGTGTGAATTATATTCAATACAGAATTCTGAAAGTCAAAAAAACCAACCGAATACTGAATATTCCACATTGTCATAATTTAAACTACACCAATGCTATTGAACCAAATAAAATGAAGGGTTGGTTTTTTGTCATGTGACATGACTAGAGCATTTTTCTGTACACACAAATCAAGTGTAGATTTCACGCTTAAAAAAAAAATAAAAATCAAATCAAATTAGGATTTGACGCCGTATCCTTAAAATACGGAAGCGGATCCTTGTTGCAGGAATGAACAGTATCATTCTTGAAACATGATTCTTATATTTCCCTAAAATGAAATACCCATACCTATGACGTTTGCCTTAGATCAAGTACACGTATATTGCCACTAGAAACTACGGTTAGCTGGTACCAACCATTCTATATAAACAAGCCAGAGAAACCATTTATTTTTAACACTACACAAGAGACATCTGAAACTGAAAAATAAAATAAAAAAATATGCAGTCTCTGATGTCCTTGTTAGCATGTTTTGTGGTTCTGTTATCAGTTTCACTCACAACTTCAGTTCCAATTCAAGAAACATTCAACCATTGTCTAACACTCCATTCTCGAATTCCACACCAATTTCCCTCATCAATCTACACTTCTAGCAATGGTTCATACACTTCTATCCTTGAGTCCACTGCTCAGAATCTAAGGTACTTGTTGCCTTCAGTGCCAAAACCAGATTTCATATTCACCCCATTCCATGATTCTCAAGTCCAATCAGCTGTTGTTTGTGCAAAACAGCTTGGAATTCATATGAGAGTAAGAAGTGGAGGGCATGACTATGAAGGGCTCTCTTATGTTTCTCAAATTGAGAAGCCTTTCATGATCCTAGACTTGGTAAAGCTTAGAGCTGTCAATGTTGATATTGCACACAACACAGCTTGGATTCAATCTGGTGCCACTATTGGTGAAGTATATTACAGAATTTCACAGAAAAGTGCACTACATGGCTTTCCTGCAGGCCTTTGCACAACCTTAGGTGTTGGTGGGCACATTACAGGAGGCGCATATGGATCCATGATGAGAAAGTATGGTCTTGGGGTTGATAATGCCATAGATGCTAAAATTGTTGATGCTAATGGAGGGATTCTTGATAGAGCAGCCATGGGAGAAGACCTATTTTGGGCTATAAGAGGAGGTGGAGGTGGAAGCTTTGGAGTTATTCTCTGGTGGAAGATAAAGTTGGTTCCTGTGCCACAAACTGTGACAGTTTTTACAGTAACTAAGAGCTTAGAACAAGGAGCAAACAAGCTTCTTTATAGATGGCAACAAGTGGCACCAAATATTGATGATGAGCTCTTCATCAGAGTCCTCATTCAGCCAGGGAATGGTAGTGTTCCAGGTCACAAAACTGTAACCACTTCTTATAATGCTCTCTTTCTTGGTGGTGCTGATAAGCTTCTCCAAGTAATGAAGAAGAGCTTTCCTGAATTGGGTTTGACCAGAAAGGATTGTTTGGAAACTAGTTGGATCAAATCTGTGCTTTATATTGCTGGCTATCCCAATGGAACACCACCAGAAGTTCTGCTTCAAGGAAAACCCTCATCCAAGGCTTACTTCAAAGCCAAATCAGATTTTGTAAGGGAAGTAATCCCAGAAACATCCCTCAATGCAATATGGAAAAAATTTCTGCAGGATGATGGCCCCTTGATGATTTGGAATCCCTATGGTGGAATGATGAGCAGGATTGTAGAATCTGCAACCCCTTTTCCTCACAGAAAAGGAACACTTTACAAAATTCAGTATGTAACTGGATGGATTGATGGAGAAAAGAGTATGGCACAGCATATGAACTGGATCAGGAAATTTTACAACTACATGGCTCTTCATGCTTCAAAATATCCAAGGGAAACATATGTGAATTATAGAGATCTTGATATAGGGATGAACCAGAAGAACAGCAGAGACTTTTCAAAGGCTTGCTCTTGGGGTTATAGGTATTTCAAGGATAACTTCAATAGGTTAGTAAAGGTTAAAACTAAAGTTGATCCATCTAATTTCTTTAGGCATGAGCAAAGCATCCCTCCATTGCCAATTGGTTAAAAAGGGTAGAAGGCAAGAAAAGGAGAAGATCAAAGGGGTAAAGCACTGTATTATGGCTTGAATGCTAGATCAATGTGACAAGTACGGTTATATCTATTTGCAAGTTGAATAATTAAGTGAAGAATGTAGTTTCTTATACATATATTTATGTTCTATATGAGCAACTTAGTTGAGTAATCTTCTGATGTATTTGCACTTTAGTTCCCTTGCCATTTAGTTTCTTTGTATGTGTGTGTATTTGTGATAGTGCGCTAGTAAAAGCATTGGAGACCCTCTTGTTTGGTATTCAAGTGAATATTTTGAAGTAATGTCACTATACAAAATTTATTGTGCAGATTTGAGAAGCTAAGACTGCTCAAAGTTTTTCCAAATAAATGTCAACATGAGTGGCTTGTTAGTGAGCTTTGAACTACTACTTGTTTGACTTGGAATTAGAGGATGAGCTGTTAGTCCACTATGAACTGCAATAACATCACTCATTTTACAAAAAAGCACGATGTCAAAAAATAGTCCTTCAACAATGATACGTGTATCTTTTTCATATTATTCTTACTTCAATTAATGATAAATAAATTTATAGTTAATAACATGTATTAAAAATCAATTATCTTAAGGGTTCATTTTTTATGCAGTAAGCCCAATACGACGTTGTTTTGAGTGAAAATTATGATATTTTTGTAATTTTAATTTATTTTAAGGTTACAATAATCTTTATATTTATAATTTTTTAAGATTTTAATACCAAAACGACATCGTTTTGGAAATAAATACAGATAACTTATCTGCTGTCACACTGCAGAAATATTTTTCCCTTATCAATATAGTAATTAATTACTAATTTGTTAACTAAATAGCACTCATTATTAATTACAAACTTATATATAATTAACGGATATAAAAATAATTACAGAAAAGTGGTGTGTAACAATATTTTTCATTTTGTAAGTCTGTAAATATCTTTTGTGTCGGTCAAATAACCTTTTCACAAAACCCAAACTTGGGAAACGCTCAAAATCTTCCAAAATGGTAGCAATATGTGCATGTTGTATTCACTTAAGAAGTGCATTCTCTTTAACTTCAAAACTTCGGAAACACACAAAATCTTCATAAAATGGTAGCACTATGTTCATGATGTACTAGTTTAACAGCACATTTTTTTTTTATAATAAATTACAAGTATCTTTCAAGAAAGCCAATTCTATTCAAGTCAAAAACTTTCAAATATTAGGTTTTTCAGTGAAATATTTTTGCATTTACAAGTACATTTGATTCCAAAAACTTACTTGAGCGGATTTAAACATGTATCTCTTCTTGACCCGGTAACTTCCCCTGTTCCACCGCTTTTGTTGTCGTTTTCTTCTGTTTCTCGTTTCCTTCTTTTTACCACAAGTGTCGCATCACATATTCGTCCAGTTAGTCTTTGCTTTTTCTTTTTTTCATATTTATTAATTTAACTTTATGGAAAAGTATATATCCTCTTGAGTCTTGCCTGCTATAATTTAGGAATGGAATCCATGCTCATTTGATGTGACATACAATTTGAAGGTTTGTATATATATATATATATATATATATATATATATATATATATATATATATATATGGGGTTTGATTTTCTCATGTTGTAGAGATAAAAAGCATGTGGGATCCAGATGTTAGAAAAAATTATATGTAGGACCCATGTCAGCACGGAAATCGAAGGGTATGTAGGAAAATTTGAATTCTCATGTTAAATGAGAATTATAAAACCCTATATATATATATATATATATATATATATATATATATAGGTAGGATCCTTTGACACCAGTGTCAAATTTTAAATTTGACAACTCATCTGAGAGTCGTTAGATCAAAAAAGATCAACGACTCTGATTTGCGAGCATGTGATACCGTTGATCTTTTTTGATCTAACGGCTCTCAGATGACACCGGTGTCAAAGGATCCTGCCTCATATATATATATATATATATAGGGTTTTATATGAGTTATGTTGTAGGAAAAGTGATTGTGTTATGTTATAGAGATTCGTTTTGGGTGCCGAAGTTTTTTTTTTTTTTTTTTTGCTGCGGGCCCCACAAAATGTTGTGTGTGTAGGAAAATTTTTGTGGTCATGTTAAATGATAGATGATAAACCCATATATATATATATATATATATATATATATATATATATATAGAGAGAGAGAGAGAGAGAGAGAGAAAAAAAAAATCTATCCTTTTAAATCCTAACCGTTGATTTCCGTCCATCAACAGTTATAATCTATTGGACCAAACTTAATGGGTCCAATTTATTATTAATTAATTAATATTTTTAATCCAATAAATTATAACCGTTGATGGACGGAAATCAACGGTTAGGATCTAAAAGGATATAAGTTTATATCCTTTAAAAAGATAGATGTTATTCCCTATATATATATATATATATATATATATATATATATATATATATATATATATATGAAGAAATGTGTTTTTTATGTTACATGAGACAATTTATCTCATGCAACACAAAAAAATAGATAGAACTCACCTTTTTCTTTTCTCTCTCTTATTCAAAGTGGTTCCTATCCACTTTTTTGTGAGTTATGAGAAAAATCAAATTCATATATATATCTTAGTAACGCTTTATTTCTTATAATAGATATTAAAATAACAAACAAACGAATTCTTCGATAATTTATAAATGACTAATTAAAAATATTTAATATTACTAACTAACATATTAAATATAAATTACTGACTCACTAATTAATAAATCGCTAACCAAATCATTAGATTAATATAAGTAAAATTAAATAATTGGCAAACTGAAATTTCCTGCATAAATGCTTGGGTAGATTGGCAAACTGAAGTCCAAGCTGCACGAAGTAAATTTCCTAGCTCCCTCCCTCCTTTTGACGTAATAGTTTCTATCTTAACAAACAATTATCCGGCTATGGTACTACGTAAAATAAATTATTATTATTTTAAAAAATAATCAAAAGGTTTAAAAGAACTAGCATTAGTAATAAATTCACAATAATTTGACCTTTCAGACTTCAGATAAACAGAACAAACTTGATTAATTACATTTTGCTACTATCTATTCGTTATTTTTTATTAAATTAGAATACTTTTAATTAGAAGTGATTTAATTTTTTCCTTTGCTTATTTTGAAACAATAATTCAAGTTTTATATATATATATATATGAAGTAGAAATCTTTTTTTAATCTGACTGCAAATTTCCTTTTAATTTTTTTTAAAATCTATATTATTCTTTTTTTTACGAAAAAAAATGCAGGGAATATTCACTATTAACGTCATAGCATTTCACCGATTTATTTGGTTATGCTTTTAAATCATACAAAACAAAGAATAATGCTATTTATTTAAGCTTAACAAAAATATAGCGTCATCATTTGCAAAATTGTTATTAGCGTTATTCTATTGCCTGTCAAGGAATTTAGGTTATTGCATCTCTTGATTTCTTTGAAAGTAGAAGTTAACCTACGCAAGCCATCCCAGGCGCAACAAGGATTCATGTGGAGTGAAGTTATAGCAGAAAGGACTGTGCACAGGTAGGAGAGCTTTCTACAATTAATTTAACACATATTATCAAATTTTACAGGATGTTTGTTTGACACAAGATGGCACATTAACCCTCAGAAACATCAATTGAGGACCAAAATAAATTAGACAATCAAAATCATGAATTCTTGACATATATTTGTCTGAACTCCTGGACTTGCTATGATCTTAACCAATGAACAAATGCAACCTTGACAGTTATCTACGTTTGGCATCCCCCTTTGATAGAGGAGGAACCGTTCCAAAAACCTTATCCCATAGTGGTGAAGTGATCCCAAAGCCATAGTTCTGGGCCCGATAGTGATGATTCAAGTGGTACTTCTGCAAAATAACAAAGGAAGGATTTGTTAGAGAAATATAAAGTCATTAATGTAGCCTCACCCAACAGCTTAAGCTTTTGGGTTGAATTGGTTCTTTACTCTGGTATCAAAGCCTCCGTATCATGGGTTCGATCCTCACTGCCCCTCATTTAATTAATAATTAATTAAGTCTTGTGGAGTTTGTTAGCACAGGTAGGAGGGTCTGTGCATTGTCCATCCTTTAAGTCCAGTGGACTCTAGTGTGAAGAGGTGTGTTAGAGAACAGTATAAAACATTAAAAAGACCCTCCACCCAACAGCTTAAGCTTTTGGGTTGAATTGGTTATTTACATGGTATCAGAGCTTCAGCGACCATGTGGTCACGATTTCGATCCTCACCGCCTCCCATTTTATTAATAAAAATAATTAAATATTATGGAATTTCTTAGCACAGATAGGTTGGGCCTGACGCATTATCCATCCTTTAAGCCTAATGGACTCTCGTGTGAAGGGGCGTATTAGAGAAATATAAAATCATTAATGTAGCCTCACCCAACAGCTTAAGCTTTTGGGTTGAATTGGTTTTTTACATAAGGATTACTTGTCTTTTTCTGGCTTACAAGATTTAGATAAGTGCTAATATATCATACAGAAAGGTTCAATACAAGAAGAATATGACAATAAAAGAAAGATGCAAGCACCATCATGTTCTCAGTGCAGGAGCTGTTTGTCTTTCTCTTTCTCTGAAAAAGACACTCTTGTTTCTAAAGAAAAATTGAGTTGATCCAAATCTCTTTAAAAGAGTTGAGAGAGGAACCAATTCTGTATGTTTTGTGACCCAAATTTAAGAGACTCACAAGTATAAATAAAATGAAAAAGAATGCCTCAACATTCACTGTATACGAATTTAATGTCCTTCAATTTCTAATCAAATTAAATATTCATAAATGCTAAAAGATAAACTTTTCATCAGCTAATACAGTTAGTAAACTATACAACTATTGTTACTTGACCAGATGATTTTTGCTAAGTAACACACTGGAGTAAGGAATTGCAATTTAATTGTGATCCACAGTTAAAGGAGGGAAAGTGCTTTTACCTTAAGATTTTTAGGCACATCAGTCTTTGGCTGACCATGGTGCAAGTAGTAATGGGTGCAATCATACGTCACATAGCCCAATAAAACACCTCCAAACACAGCAGGAGCAGTTGAAGGGGAGCATACAAGCTTCACCAAGTTCCAGAACTGAACACGGCAGACAAAAACACCAACATCAATGCATGGACCCTCTTATCGTATGTTATACTTGAAAACCATTGGTATAGAAGTATGTCTAAATTTTACCAAGCATTTTATAAAATGTAAAAAATTTTCTGGCCCTTTTCAAAAGAAAGCTATAAACTATGTTACGGATGGCAAGGTTCTCTTGTAACATCAGTAAAGCCATTCCATAAGCAGCCAATTCTTTATATTCAAAAGCTCCAACGACTGGATGAGGGGCATAAGGATGTTTTTAAACTATTGGTCGCAGAGATATAGGAATAGATCTCCTCAAACATAAAACTAAATATAATTTCATGTTTAATGAGATCTTGTCAATAGTTCTTCTAGGAGATATCCTATCTGCTACTCTTGTACTGCATTCTCTTCTCTCATAAAGAGCTGTTACTTGTAGCTGTAGGAGTATATATTATATCAAACAAAGAAAAACTTAGTTCTTGCTACTGGTGAAATTGGCATAGTTAATGAGTCTTTCTTGTTTGATAGTGCTTATGAGGTTGTTCCGTTTAAATTGACTCTGACAAATTTTTCTTCACTAATAACATTTCCTTTTATGAAATTAAAAACAGTACATTAACAGACTTCAATTAATATAACCTATAATAAGCATGTCAAGTATTATGACTTATATGTAAACATCTAAAAATACTCACACAACATTTCTAAAACAGTATTAACCAAATACTGAAGACAATACTTCCATTGTCAGCATTAATTGAATTGCATCTATCACAAAATCCTGAGGTTGATATTCCATGACATTCCTTCATAATTAAATAATGGAAAAATAGTATCGCCGGGGTTATGATAAATAAAACCCACACAAGAGAATACAGGTATCTACTTTGTATTAGAACAGAGAGAAATTAACAATCATGTTTCAAATAATAATTACTCATTAATATGGGTGGGGAGGGAGCAAAAAAGAGAAGTTAACATTCCAAATTAGTGGAGGCTCTATGTCACAATTCTCTTCTGAGGTATGGAAATGAGTTATTCAGTATAATATGGTAAGAAATAGATACCGGAAATGCTATTAAAGTGGCTGCTGCTGGGGGGAAAACAAGTCTCAAGCTATCCATGGGGTGCTTATGGTGGCAGCCATGGAGAAGATAATGTAAGGTATTTCCCCTGATGCAACAACAAACCAAAAAAAACAAAAAAATAAAATCTTTGAGTGTTATTGGAACCAATAAGTGGTTGATCTAAGTAGATTTGATTAAAAGACAATAAAACAAAACATAAGGGGGGGGGAAGAAGATCTAACCAGTAGCTAGTAGTTTTAACATGGAAAAGGAAACGATGCAACAAGTATTCTGCCAATGTCCAAACGAAAATGCCAATAACCACCAACATAGCTACATGAGGACAAGTTAGCCCCACTTTCACAGAGTTAGAAATGAACCAAGATGCAACTGGCACCCAAACAACTGGAATCACCCACCATGCAGTGCGCGTGAAGAACTGTTCCAACCAACCAACCAAACAACCAAGTCAACAACACAGCTGAAATAATATCTTGAAATGTAATCTCAAAAATTAAAAACATTCCATGACTTGAAATGAAATGGCTTTTGATTTTTTTGTTTAACATATTATAATTAAAGGATCAAATAGATATAGATTTGATTTAAATGTACCTACCTCCAAAACACTGCTTTGAAAAAAACGAGGGCCTTCCTTGCTTACAATAGGTTGGTGAACCCATTCTTCATAAGCTTTTCCGAGATGACCAACCTGTCAAACAATAAAAAGATGAGAGTCAATACGTAAATGTATATTGTGAGGAACATGTTTGAAACAAGAACATTTGTGTCTTTACCTGGAAAACCAGGGGCTTATTCAAATCAACAACAAATTTCTTTGCGACCATCTTGGCACTGAAAAGAAAAGGGGGGAAAAAAAAATTAAGATCTGTAAATTGAAATGGAAAAAAATGAAAAGGGGAATGGTGGAATGAAACGAACCTAGCAGAATGGGGGTGGTCCCCTCTTCGCGTTCGGGTGAGAGGTGAAGCGCGAGAGGGAATGTGAGTCTGATTTTGTGAATGAAGTGAGAAATGTGTTTGTGTATTTAGGGGAATGAGGAAACAATATGGACCTCCATTTTGTTTGCCGTTAACAGTACAACTAAGAATAGAAAAAAACAGGTTATAGCCAAAACCTTCTTCAAACAACCTGGACCTACGAATTACAGGTCATCACCATGGCCAAATTATAATCAACTATGTTGCAAAATAATTTATTCCCATTGACTTATTTATTTTTTTCAAAGTTTTTTCATTTTAAATGATATAATTTGTGTCATTTTTAAAGAAAAAATATTTCTGCAGTTATTGCGAATAAATGGGTAATACCTGGAATAGATATTTTTGATACTATGCAATTTGTACAACCAGATGTACAGACAGTATGCATGGGATTAGCCGCTTCAATGGGATCTTTTTTGCATTTACTATTAAAACATATTGGGATTGAAATATTAAATAATTATAATTATAAAGACTTAATAACCCTAAAACAAATTAAAATTACAAAAACACCATGATTTCCGTCTCAAAATAAAGTTGTATGGTAAAATAATTTCTGCAGCCGCTTTACGTACAATGGTTATGATTCCCCACATTTAATGCTTTCATCCTTTGTATGGTTATGATTCTTCGCATTTAATGCTTTCAAGTATATATATATGACAAGTATTTGATTGCTGCACGTACAACAACTGCAGAAATGTAAACCCCTATATGGGCTTATCATTTTTCAAGCTCTCCGGCTACTAAATCATAACCATACAAAGATGGATAAGTGGTGATAAAAGAAGAGAGAGAAAAAGAAAATCATAACCATTCAAAGGTGGATCAATTAATATAAGAAAATAAATAAACAAAACGACGTCGTTTTGGGGTGGCCAGTTGTCGGAGCAATGTTTTTCCCATATATTGAGAGGGTTTATCTCAAGATGAGGAAAATATTTTTTATGCTCCAGGACCACCCAATGATTTGGTGCTCCCTCTCACAACACTAATTTTTTCTTTCTTTTTTTACCCCTGCTATTTTTATTCTTTTCCAATTTTATCCTCTCATTTACGCTAAGGGACCACCTAAAAAATAGTGGTCCCGAACCACAATAAATCCTCTCCAAGATGAGAGAGTTTTTAAAGATGGGATAATTTGAGTAGGATTTTAACTGCTAATTAGATAAGTTTCGTTATCCTAATCCGAATTTTGAATTAGTATTTGGGGTATATTGGATTGAAATTTCAAAGAATTTTAATAGATTATTTTTGAGAAAAATAAATTCATTGGTATTCGATTAGAATTTTAAAAGATTGAAAAAAAGTCACGTGATATTCGATTGAGATTTTAAAAGATTATTTTAGAGTCCTTCCAAATCCGTTGGTATTCAAAAATCTGACGATTTTAATGGATTTTCTATTGGTGTGTATTTCGTGAGACTTTTTAGTGAGAAATATAAATAGGAGGTCTCTCTCACAATCTCACCATAACCCCTAGTATTTCTTGAAATTTTCTATTGTGGTTTCTTCTTCTTCCTTTGGTGAGTTGACCTGCTCGAAACCGCATTCCGCCATGGGAGCTTCGTCAAAGCTCAAAATCAGCAAATTTTTGAGCGATTTTCATCACAAAACAACCCAGAAACAACAAACTAACAAAATTATAATGTAATCTATCTAAAATGTATGATTTTTGTATTAAAAACAACATAAACAGTAGGAAAACAACATGAGAACTAAAACCCTCAAACCAATTTTCGTTTTACATCAATGAAACAATATCAATATAAATAAAGAATGAAACTTTCATAATATAAACCCTATATTTCGTAACAATACATTTATGAATGAAATTCCTTCGCTATAGAAAACAGTTTCAAACAATTTTTTTGTCAATAGATAACTAAATAGTTATTTTTCAAAAGCACCAAAGCAATTTAAGGTTTCAACGTATCGATTGAAAATTATTTTAGAAATTTTCTAGATTTTCATGTAATAAAGCCCATAAATTTAGATTCTTAGAATATTCAATGAAAACATGCATATAATATATTAAAAAAAATAATAATTTTCTCATGCAATAGGAGATAATTATTATTCCCTACAGACTCATTTATGCAGGTGGAGTCCACTTTCATGGGGAGTGAGAGAAAAAGTAGAGTGAGACTCATCTTGAATTTGTGTGTGCAGAAGATAAATTCTTTCTTATGTAACATAAGAATAATAAATTCCTATAATATATGGTTAGAAAACTCTCATAACGTAGAACAAAAACCTCAAGGTTTCCAAGATCATTTGCAAAAAATTTCAAACAAAATTTTTTCATGAATTTTAGGTTCTATAGGCAAATTTAGAATTATTTTAATAAATAAATAAACAATTGGTTTTATAATCATATATGCATAGCTCTGATATCAAATGAAGAAGATAATTTTCAACCCATTTGTCAAAACTAAGAGTAGGAACGAGAAATGCTAATGCATTGCGGACTAATATAGCTTTAGATATGTGGAGAGCTGTTGGTTAGTAATTTTAAATGTTTGTTAAAAATTATATTATGCTTTATTGATTGAGAAAATTATATTATGCTTTACTTTTTTTTATTAATATTATTGCATTTCTTTGTTATTTTTTTATTGACTCTTGTAATTTTGAATGTTTGTTAAAATTCATATGATTTTTTGAAATCTTATAAATTCATATGGCCCTTTCAAATCTTATAAATTCTATTAAAATCCTTTAAAATTCAATCTTATGAAATATTGATTGTAAAAAAAATCTTTTATAAAAGTCTTTGAAGCTAAGAAACCCGGACACGCAATTTTTTTAAAAAATGGCGTGTTGAACACGAGTCCGACACGGACACGCTCCGACACGTTCGGACACGCGTCCGACACGCGGTCAACATTTTGAGACACGTGGTCAACTCTTCGACACACTCCGACACGTTTTTTGGACACACAGTCAACATTTTCGGACACGTGGTCAACATTCGGACACGCTCAGACACATTTTTTTTAGTCTTAATTTTATTTTATTAACTAAAAATAAAAAAACATTTATAAATCAATTTTTTTCTAATGAATTTTAACATGAAAAATTATTATTTTTTATATTTATGTTATGAAATTTGAATATTTGATTGGTTATATGACTAATTATGAACTGTTATATTATTAAATATAAATTATATTATATATATTAAAAATATTATTTAATATCAAAACATTTTCCAACGTGTCGAAATATGTCATTTTTTAGAATTAACGTGTCGATGTGTCGTGTCATGTCTCGTGTCGTGTCGTGTCTCGTGTCCTGTGTCAGTGTCCGTGCATCATAACTTTAAAGTCCATCCAACTTTAAATAGTCTTTTAAAATCTATAAGATTTTTTATTTCAAATTTTTTTTTAAAAAATCATAATCCAATACACCCCCTTATAACCATATCTATTATGTAGGTTCACATTTTTTCAAAACTTATACATTGGCGTTACAGATTTACTTACGTTTAATGCATGAATCAAGTCACAACTCTTTGGGAGGACGTTGCGGGAGAAAATTAAAATTTATTGAAAAGGAATGATGTTACCACTAACTTTTATTTTGAAAAAAAAAATTAATTAAAGCTTCTTTTATTAAAAAATTGATTTTTTTTAATTGAAATTAAATTTGAGAGCCTTATGCACAAGGAGAAATAGAAACTTAATGACATTACGATCTTTATAAATCTATTTTAAATGATTAGATTAATTGTGAATATTTTATCTTTAATAAAGTATTTATTTTACCTTGAAATTAAATTAAAAAATAAAATAAATCGAAATAAACACAATTATTCATAAATAAAATTAAACTACAATTGAGTTAATAACAAAAATTCACTCTTACATATTCCTACTGGAATGGAAAATTCAAAGTCATTTTATTCTTTAAGAAATATTTATAGGTTGATTAATTTTAAATTTAAAAAGAATTTTATTTTAAAAACAAGGAATAGGTTATATTTAAAAAAAAATTGTTTACAAACTATAAATTTTATTCTTAAACATGTACTATTAGAGTATATAGTGTAATTTATAAAAATTTATAAGCAAAATATTTGTAAATACAACTTGTTATAAAAACTAACGTACTACTGTGCATAATTTAAAATAGTATGGTCGTACGCAAATTTTTATGACGTCTACGTCAATAAGAATAAAAAATTCCACAAAAGTTGTAGATTAAAAAAATTAAAGAAAAATATTTTATAGTATTTTCTTTCTTTTCTTTTTATTTTCAATTACACATTTTCAACACAATAAATAAAGGAAAATATTTATGTATAAAAAAAAGGGTAAAATATGTGTCATTTTAAAGGATGTAAAGTTGTGTCATTTTAAGAAAGAGAAAGAGATAGATAAAGGAGGAGAAAGAGTTGACAAAAAAAAATAAAGGTGTGGGTCCTACCTCTTTGTGAGAGTGAAAGGATATAAGTTGTGTCATTTAAAAAGATAAACACTTTTCCCTAAAAAAAATGATAAAACTATTTGTCATTTTAAATGACATAAAGTTACGTCATTTTAAGAGAGAGATAGACACAGAATAAATTTTTTTATTTAAATTTTAAATTAAAAAAAAACCATCCACTTTCTCTCTCACATGATTTTCATGTTCTGTGTCTATCCCTCTCCTAAAATGACATAACTTATGTCATTTAAAATAACAAACACCAAGCCCAAAAAAAATAAAGGAAAATATTTCAGAATTAACACAAAATCATGGCATTATGCGAAAAGCAGCAAAACAAATATAGCCAAACAACCACCTTTGAGAAGAATTTAAAGCCTTAATCTTGTGGACCCGTCCCGAATCGTTTCCAA